CCTTTTTTTGAGAATGTAAGGCTGTTGCACAGTTGGTAGACTACAGGGCACCGTACGTGTAGCTGTTCTACGCACTGAGAAACCAGGAAACTCACTGGACTTGCTTTGTTGGGGTATTCGCTTTACTGCAGCGGTCTGGAACTCAAAGCAGCAATGTTTCCGAGGTGTGCCTGTAACGGACTTGACTGAGGAAGCATTTGTACTCGGTAAAGATTCGTAAAGAAACAAGACAAGCTTTCCACACCTACCTTTTGATCCAACTGCAAAGAAGTAATGAAGCAGAAATGGAGTTCTGGTTCCTAGAGGGAACTTAAAAAAGGGGGGAATTCAGGGGGCGCCTGGGTGGCTCAGTCAGTTAAGCGTCCAACTTCTGCTCAGGTCATGATCTCGCGGTTTGTGAGTTCGAGCCCCACGTCGGGCTCTGTGCTGACAGCTCAGAGCCTGGAGCCTGCTTCGGATTCTGTGTCTCCCTCTCTCCCTGCCCCTCCTCTGCTCACACTGTGTGTGTGTGTGTGTGTGTCAAAAAAAATAATAAAAATAATAAAACATTAAAAAAAAGGAGGGTGGGAATTGAGTCACAGAGACACCATGCTCTCCGTTGGAGGCGCTGTTCATGAAGTGGTTCATCTCCGTTCACTAGATGCCCCCCAACTCCGGGGGCGCACACACCTTCCCGCCAGTTGTGACCTAAGGTGGCCTGGGCAGCCTGTGTTTTCTGTGTCCTTCCCAAGGCTGGCGTGACGCCTTTGCGGGCGGGTCCCGCCTCCCGGCTCTGACCCTAGGGCTTGGCTGTCACACCAGCCCTCGGCACGGGCCTGCCCCTGCTGCCCCTGGGCCTTTGCTTCTTTGCCTCTCGTTCTGTGGGGTCTGGCTGCAACTCCCGGCCACCCTCGCCGTCCTCCTTGGACTCCTGCATCGAAGAGCAGGCAGCAGCCTGTGTCTGTAGGGACGCGCCTTGGGCTCTGCGTCCTGGAAGCCTCCCACCGCGTTGCTGGTGTGTAAACATAACCCCCGTGGCTGGACCTGCCCGGCGGCCCTAGGTGACCGTCCCGCAGGCATTAGCCCCAGGCGTGTGCCCTCCGTGGGTGGCGAGGGGGATCCAGGGTGCATGTTTGATTGTAAGTTAACTGGGCACGATTCGTGAAGATGAGCGGGAGGTGCGTGGAGTGGCTGGAATCATGCAGGAGCTAACTCAGTGTCCTTTCCCTGGCTCTTCAAATAATCCCGCTCTTATCCTAAATAAACCTCCCCTCCCGCCAGGCAGGAGGGAAAAGTGACTGCTTGGATGAGCAATGAATTCAGAAGGCCCAGGCCCGGCG